ATATTTAACTTTGCTGTTGTAAGATTTTATACAGATAATCTTTTTTTGATAAAGGAAGTTGCATTTCTGTTCTTAGGTTTTTACAAAGTCATAATTGTATTAGTGATTTTATTGAATATGTTTTTCACAACTGTTAAAATATTTACATATTTTTCTGCTTCCTGTTAGTATGATGAATTAAACTTTTTTTAAAATTTTCCTACTTTGGAGTTATTTTTGTTATAGAAGAGAAGATTTAAGTGTTGGGAAGATGGCACAGACTGTTCCATATGGTGTCACCAGCTTCCTGTATTGTTGACATTTTATAACAACCATAGTATATTTATCAAAATTACAATTGGATATTTTTAATTAAATCAAAATTGTGTTAGTGGAATAGATCTCAATTTGGTTATAATTTTAATCTGTTTAATATATTTCTGAATATGTCAGGAATATGTTATATATGCATATATAAATGCAAGTGTATTATGTATAAGGTATATATAAAATCAAAATATAGAAATGCAAATATATATATGCAAGATTTGCTTCAATTTTCATTTCTTATACTAGTGTTCTAGCCAAGTTATTGGTTTTATTTGTAATCAAGTACAACTGGGAATTTTCCCTTTTTTCTGTTTTGGAAGAGTTGGTAAAGGATTAGTATATTTCTTTAAAAAAAATTTTAATGGACCAAATGGCGGGTTCATTATATTTCCATAGATGAATCTAATGTAATTTGGTCATATTCACCTCCTCTCTTATCCTTTCCCCTACCCTTTATCTTGTATATATCCCTAAAAGCCTCCTTTTCTACACTCATCTCTTTTTTACCACCTTGGTTCCACATGTGAGAAAAAACATGTGATTCTCATCTTTCTGAGTTGGGCTCATTTTACACATTTCATTCTTCTTTATGGTTGAATAAAGTTCCATTGTGTACATATACTACATTTTCTTTATTCATTTATCTGTTCATGGGTACCTAGCTGACTCCATAACTTGGCTATTGTAAATAGAACAGCAATAATCATGAGTGTGCAGGTATCTTCACAGTAAGTAGACTTTAATTATTTTGGATATATACCTAGAAGTAGTAGGGCTGACTTATATGGAAATTGTATTTTAATTTTTTGAGAACCCCCCTACTGATTTCCATAGTGGCTGGACTAATTTATAGCCCCACTAATAGTATATAAATGTTTCTTTCCCTTTGTTCTCCTCACCAATATTTGTTGTTTTTTGTTTCCTTGATAATAGCCATTCTGATTGGTGTTGACATTTCCTGACAGCTAAAGATGCTAAACATTTTCCCATGTGTTTATTGGCTGTTTGCAGCTTCTCATTTGAAAGTTGTGTGTTCAGTTCATTTGCCCATTTGTTGACTGGCTTATGTATTCTTTGGTGTTTAATTTTTTCATGTTGCTGATTTTTACTGAGTCAAGTTTTTAGTCAGTACACAAACTGTGCTTAGGCTTACAGTAGCTATTGTTCCCCTCAGTCATCAGGTTTTAAATCCCTCTATGTATACCTTACAATTAGGATAAGGGATATTGGCTATGTGGTTTTTGTGAAGGTCTTCCCCATCATCAGTTTCTGGTCTCTCTTTGGCACTTTTCCTCAGAAGGGGTTTCTTTCCACTTGTGGTCCCCTTTATCCTCTTCCCTCTTCCAGGACTTTCTATTGTTGCTTGCTACAGGATGCCTGTTGGTGAGGGTTGGTACTGATTAAGTTTCAGTGCTTGGCAGGTACTGTGTCTACATGTTGCTTGTTGTGGCCTTCTCAAAGCACCTGCTCATTCCCCAACTTTAGTTCTGGGCTCAGCTGTATTCCTGCTTCTGTGGGTAAAGGAATTTCTTGTTGTTGTTTTCTTCTCTTGGTGTCAGTGGGATTTCACTTGAGTCCTGGGGATCAGGGCATTGTTTATGCCCACCCCTTCCCCAAGCTTTGTCGAGGAATTTAGGAAGAAGGGTCAAGGCAGTCTTCATCCTTTTCCTGTTGTGGCTGCTGTTTCCCTTCCAAAGGACCTTATCAGGTGGAATGTTCTCTCAGGATTTCCATGAGTCTTCTGAGCATGCCCAGTAGATCTGTACAGAAGAACTACTAGTATATCATGAGAACTCTACCTCTATTTGCATCCTCAAGTAGCTCTGCACATACTCACCAGCCCACACATGGCCTTTCCCAACCCATGAACTAACTATCTTAGCTGAACTCTTTTTATTGGTGTATGTCTATGTCTATCCCAGGTAAGCAAATGCTTGCAGCTGGAAAACTGTTGTCTCTCCTTAGATTTTGGACTTGTGATTGTTCTGTGACTTCAGTTCTCAAATAGTTTCAAGTAAAACCATTAACTTAGGATTTTCTAAGTTTTGTGTTGTAATTGTAAGGCATGAATGCCTTTTTCAGCTTTCTATATCTCAAGCAGACTGAGAGTCATTGAGGTACTTAAATCTCTAGATTGATATCTTTCTTCAGTTTTAGAAAATCCACAGCCATCACCAATTTGAATACTTCTTTGTTTTTCTCTCTCCTTTTTATGGGATTCCAATAAGTATACCATGTAGAGTTTCTCACTATGTTCTTTTTATGTTTTACACTCTCTTCTGTATTTCAATACTTTTAACTTTCTGTGCATTATTCTAGTGTCTTTTGATCAATCATTTAAACAATTTTTCTTTTGAGATAATTCCTAAAATTCTCCATCACATTCTCTATTAAACTGAACCACCCAATGTCTTAATTTTATTGATTGCTTTTTTTGTTTTTTAACTCTGGGGATTCAAATTGGCCATGTTATTCTCTCCTAAAATAGTTTACCATGCTTTGGCAAAAGTTTCAAGTTCATGTTTCAGTCTCAAGTTCATGTTTTCTCCATCAACATCATAATCATGGTTGTTTATGGTTAAGATATGGATATATAATTATCTGAAGTACCTGTCAATCTATTTCTCATCTCTTGATCTTATTCCGGTTGACTTATGTCTTCACTCTTTGGTATGCCTTTATTATGTGTTGGACATTGCATTTGAAATTGTATTTGCAGAAATAACATGAGGTTAAGATGACATTATTTTACTACCAAAAGATTTCAATTTGCTCTTCCAATGTCTCTAGCATTAGCACTCTGGAAACTCCTTAAACTTGTGCTGGCAAGAGAAATTCTAGATTGTAGGCCAAGTCCATAGGAGTGCTACTTTATTTTTAATTTCCCTTTGCTCCCAGGAAGTAGCCCTTTGTGTAATCAGTTCCATGCATAAATAGTTTATTAGGTGCTGGATCTTTTGCCAGATCTTGGATTACATTTTTGTCTCCCTAACTCCAAAGTGCTCTTCATTTTTTCAGTTGCCTCTTCAAGGTAGAAAAATGCACTATGGCCACATACAAGGGCTGGGATCAACTTTCTGGATTTGTATCACATCCTTTAGTGTTGCCTTTTTAGAGATCATTCCACACAATGTTGTTAGCTCATTCTAAGATATCCTTCAGAAGATGTCTTTTGTAATTCTGCAGAGTTGTTAGTTATATAGAAGTATGAGGGTTGATTTAAATGACCAAGTCTGCTTCTACCGAATGCAGACATTTGTAATTCATTGCATATATATACATGGTAGGTTTTAATATCCCTACTTTACAGGAACCACTCTGACTGCAAAATTTTTTTAGGCCAGGCATGGTGGCTTACACTGTAATCCTAGCTACTCAGTAGGTGGAGGTAGGGATGATCATGGTTTGAGGCCAGCCCAGGCAAAATGTTCACAAGACCCCATCTCAACCAATAGCTGGGTGTGGTGGTGTGTGTCTGTCACCCTTCCTAGATTGGGAGTTGTCCAGGTCTTCCCAGGCATAAATGCAAGACCATGTTTGAAAAATAACAAAAACTGGGTGTGGTTCAAGTATAGAGGGCATGCCTGGCAAGCACATGACCCCAAGTTCATACCCAAGTACAAAACAAAAAGGAATTACTTTTGATATTATGTGAATTCTTTCATATTCTCTATAATGTTTGTATACTATGTTGAAAAGCATTTGGGGACCCATCGAATATGGAGAGAATGAGTGCTATTTAGGGATCATTTAGTAAAATATGCCGAATATTATGTTATATTTTTAAAACAAAATTGTATGGAGTGAGTATAGTAGTAGTTTGGGTGATTTTTCCTCAATAAATATATTGTGTCTCCTATCTTGTACACAGCCCATCTTATTTTTCACATTGTTTGTTCCATAGAGAAAATATTGGTTCTTTTCTCTGTTTATGTTGCCTTATGTAATACTTTTTAAAGCATGTATATCTTTTGACACCTATCACAGTCTTGTAAGGGAAACAAGATGGAATACTTTTATTATCTATGAGAAAAAAATTGAGAGGGTCTACTTCCTTTGCTCAGAGTTACACAGCTAGTATTGGGCAGGTTTACAAATCTGCTCCAAGCTGGCTGTGGGTGCACTTGCCTGTAACCATAGTATTTAGCAGGCAGTTACAAGGCGATCAGACGTTCCAGCCAGAGCTACATAGTGAGACCCTGCCTCAAATTTTTAAAAAATTAAAAAATAAATTCAAAAATCTGTTGCAGCGATAGTTTTATTTTCTACTAAATGAATGAATGTCATAGTTTTTGTAGCCAGGATGTTGAGTTCCATTTCCCACTGATAAGTATAATTTCTGTGTGATTTGCAATGTTATATGGAGGTGAAGATGCCAGACTCTGGAGGCTAATGTTCGGATCTCTGCATTGTCACTAATCAGCCACCAGAATTTGGATAGTTTATATATCCATATCATTCCTCACAACATTTATCTGAAAAACTTAGATTAAAAAGTACTTAACCCAGGGGCGCTTCATGGCATACCTCTATAATCCCAGCTACTCAGCAAGTGGAGGCAGGAGGGGGAAGCGGAAGGGAAAAAAAAAGAAGGGGAAGAGGAAGGGACAGGAGGCAGGAGGGTCATGAGTTCAAGGTTAGCCAGGGAAAACTTAGTGAGTCCCTATCTCAAAAACAAAAACAAGAGAGCCAGGGGTATGGCTCAAGTGGTAGAGCACTTGCCTAGCATGCAAGAGGTCCTGGGTTCGATCCCCAGTCTCTAGGACTGCAAACAAAAATCCTCAGAGACTTAACCCAGTTTTTATGAGAACTAAATGGAACACTGCATGTAGTATATGGGGTATAATAAGTTCTTAACTAATAGTAATTGTTACAATTGCTATTTTACTTGTTTCTACTAAAGATGGTTTATGTTATGGTTTTATTATGGACCAGATTTTGCTTTTTTAAATTTGGAACCAATAGATTCTTTTCTTTGACCTTATTGATACAATGCCACGAAGCTCAAATTTTTCTTTGGCTTCTTTCCTATTTTTGATTGTCCTTTGTGGAAAATAGAAACCATGTTAAGTACAGATCTCCAGACTATTGACCACTGTTTTTGCTTCCAAGGAGTCTTGTGCTACATTTTCCTTTTAAAGTTAGAACATTTTGGATACTGTGATTTGGCAGATCTAGAGGAAAAACAAAGCCTGAACATTAATACATTGAGTGGGCTGATTTATTTCACTTCTCATTAAACATTTTTTCCTCTTTTTAAAAAACCAACTTAATTTCTGGCGAGGCTCTAGGAATGATGCACTTACTAGATAATTCATTCATGTTTGAATACTTCAACCATTTTAATATTAGAAAGAGAAAAGAAGTAATCCTATGGGGAGGTGTGGAGAAAAATTCTCTGTTATTTAGGACTTAAGAATGTTGATTTTGGGAAAGAAAGGGTAAGGCCCATTTATACTTCACAAATAAAAAAGGGCATTAGTAAAACTGAGAAAGATATGGCACATTCTGACTTTTGAAACATTCATATGACCTTAAGGAAAGTCAAAGAATTTCAATGTGGCAGACAGACGTTAACATGGCTCGTGGTGTTTATGTCCTTGTATGATTTCTTCCCATTGAGTATGGAATGGACATATGACATGCTTCTATCCAACATCCCAAAGGTGATGGTGTATGTCACTCCTGTGAGCACATCCCGTACATTGCACATGTGACCGACTGGTACTCCTGTGATCATGTTACACTGAAGAAGCAAACTGCCTTAAGCTCTACAGCCAAAATTAAAAAAAAAAAAAAGACAAAACCAACAAAATTCTTTCAACAAGTTGAATGAGTCTTCCATTCCCAATGTCAACAGACTTCCTCTTATATTTCTTCAAACAGATCTAATTTTTTCTTAATAGTCTCTAAATCATAAAGAATTTTTGTGTATGATATGAAATAATTTAACTTTCCTTTTTCCAAGTGGAAAAGTTTATTTATTAAGCAGTCTTGCTTAAGATTTATGAGGCCTGAGTTTTCATATTGAAAGTTGTCAAATGCTTTCCTTCATTTCTGGATTATAACCTCCGTTGATTTATTTGTCTACCCATATACTTGTACTCTATTGCTCATTGTTATTTTTTTATGGAAATTTTGTTTGTATTTCATTATAATGGTCTTAAATTTTAAAGATTAATTCAGAGAAGATATTTATATCTACGCTATTGATGCTTCCCATTCATAAACCTGATTATTTCTCCATTTATTCATAAAATTCTAAACACCTTTCTACAGTATATTTCTCAATTTTTATAGTTTACTATTACTACTAATATAAATGGCAATAGTTTTCTTAGCCTCCCTCTAATACGGTATACAGAAATAGTTACCTATTTTTGTAGCTGATTCTATATCCAGCATTCCTGTGAATTAAGTTATACATTATGGTAGGTTGATTTTTTAAGGAGATTTTTCTATGTATGCAACTAATTAGCAAATGATGAATTCTAATCTTTATAACAATGTCTGCCCTGTCTTATATAATTGGCTAAGATCTTCTTATTCTGTAAAATAATTACAGAAAATATAGTGGGAATATTTGTCTTATTTCTGAATTTAATGGAAATTCTTTTAGATTTTCACCAATATTATATTAATTAGAATAAGAAATTTTCTTGCTATTATTTGGTTAGAAAGACTTTTATTAGGGCAGTGTTATTAAGAATGTTATTAAGAATATTTGGTAAAATCTTTTATTATGAAAACATGTGACTAGGAATGCTATCTAATGTTTTTGCTGCTTATACTGGGATGACCATATGTTTTCAGTCATTAACTTGTCAGTATGGTGATTTTTTGATGTTCTAATATTGAAACAGTATTGCATTGTTGAGATAAAACCTACCCAGAAATGATTCCTTGTACTCAAAACACTGCTGGATTTGGGTAATAGATATTTTATTGGAGGAATTTTGTATCTATGTTTATAGGTTAGGTAGTTCAGTGATTCTCTTTCTGATACTAACTCATTCTACTTTTTTTATTATTAAAAATGTCAGTCTCACAAACTGAGTTAGATAGTTGCTTCTTTGAATCAATTTATATCACTTACAAATTAAATGTTCTCTGGACAATTGTCAAGTCCCTTTCTAAACTGTCTGGGTCTGAACTCTTCAGAAGAGAGGAATTTCAGGAAAATTTCTAATGGTTTGAAGTGGCTTGCTCTGCCATTATTAAAGGAAATCCCATTTTTATGTACATTTTTTCCACCAAGAATAAAGAAAATTGCTTCATTGTGAACCTCCAAATCTACATATAAAAATGGGATCAATAGAGGGTTTATGGGATGATCTGTGTGTATTCAGAGAACTGTGTTTCACATTGGGCAACTTTTCTCTCCTCCCATAAGTGGGTTCTGTCAATTGACCTCAACCCAAATGTCCCTTCTATCATTCCTGGCCTTCAAATCAATAACCAGAGCTATGATTTAGTGTGCCTACTTCAGCCTTTATATGTGTAATGATATTCATATGGGGACACTTTTTATTATTTGCCTTTTACATGAGAAGAGAAAAGATGACAGGAAAAATGAAATCATTTGGCTAAGGCTACAGGGTTAAGAAAGCTTGGAGGATGGTGAAGCCATATGTATCTGCTTCATTCCATCATGGTTGGCATTCCAGAAATGTTTGCTGTTTCCCTTTAATCCTTGCCTTACACTGAGTCTCCAACTGAAGAATTCTTTGTCAAACCAATTTTCCCTCATGTTTAGTTTGATTTTATCAACTCAACTTGTAATCATTTTGGCAAAAGCAATGCTAATATTTCCATGCCATTCCTGCTTCTTTTACCTCCTCCTCAAGTTACCTGTATATAGTCTTTTGTAACTTTGGCTGGATTTATTAATACAGCCTCAACCAATGCATTTAAATGAATAAAGGACACAATCAACTTTTTCTCTTAATCTCTATCAACTGATCATAAGATTGAGTAGCTTTTTAGTCAAAACAGCCACAGGCTAGTTTTACTGTTTTGTTTTTCCAGTAGGCCTCTGCTTTAGCTCACCTGAGAGGCAAAACTAGTTGGGTGGAGAAAATCACTGTCATTGTATCAGAGTGACTTGATTGTGAATCCTAGCATCACTATTAATTTATCTATTTATGCAGCACTGGGGTTTGAATTGAGGGTCTCATGCTTGCTAGGCAGGCACTCTGACATTTGATCCAGGCCCCAAACCTTTTTTGCTTTTGTTATTTTTCAGGTAGGTTCCAGCATTTTTGTCCAGCGCCATCCTCAGACTGTGACCTTCATATCCACGGCCTCCCAAGTAGCTGGGATCACAGGCGTGTATCACTATGTCCAGTTTACTGATTGAGATGAGATTTCATTGACTTTTTGCCCAAACTGGCCTCAAACTGTGACCATCCTATTCTCTGCTTCCCAGTTAGCAGGGATCATAGATGTGGGGTGCCATGCCTGGCTCTAGCTTTATTATTTTTAATGGGGGTGGTCAAAGGAACTTAGAAAATTGCTCAATATCTATAAGCTAAGGTACTATCTGATGTAATCTCCCTTTTCCTTTCTGTTTTTATTTTTTTTGAGCTATGACTTACATACCATAATATTCACCTTAAAATGTGCAATCCAGTGACTTTTAATGTATTCATAAAATTGTGCAATTCTTACCACTAATTCTGTAACATTTTCTTCACCTCACAAAGAAACTATGTACCTGTTAGCAGTCACTTTTCACTCTTCCCTCCCCCAGCCCTTGGTAACCTCCATTCTAGTTTCTGTACGTATGAATGGAATCATATCACATTTGCCTATTTATGACTGATTTATTTTGCTTAACATATGTCCTCAAGATAATCTATGTTGTAGCATATATCAACACTATTTCATTCCTTTCTATGGCTCAGTAGCACTGCATTGTATGAATATACCACATTTGGTTATCTATTCATCAGAGGATGATCATTTGTGTTTTCCTTTGACACTGTTATATACATTGCTGCTAAGGGCATTCATATATAAGTTTTTGTGGGAATATACATTTTCATTTCTTCTGAGTACAAACATAGGAGTAGAATTACTGGATTGTGTGGTAAATCTGTTTAAGTTTGGGAGGAATGGCTAGATTGTTTTTCATGGAAGTCATACCACTTTATTTTCCCACCAATAATATAAGATTCCAATTTCCTCATATCCTCACCAACACTTGTCATTTTCCTTCTTCTTCTCTTTGTGCACGTCAAGTGGCACCTTGTTTTTGTTTTCATTTGCATTTCCCTAATGAGTAATGATGGTGAACATCTTTTCATGTGCTCATTGGCTACTTATATATCTTCTTTGGAGAATATCTATTTAAATCCTTTGACAATTTTTAATTTGTATTGTTTGCTTTTTTATTGCTAAGTTGTAAGAATTAATGTGTATTCTGAATACTAGTCCCTAATCAAATATACGATTGGCAGATATTTTTTCCTAGAAATTGGTTGTATTTTTACTTTCTTGATAACTGACACATTTAGAGGCAGTCTTACTTAATCTTATAGAATCTTTGTGATGTAAGCCCTGTCTCATTCTCAGCCCCATCTTTTTTTTTTAGTATTATTCATATGTGCATACAAGGCTTGGGTCATTTCTCCCCCCTGCCCCCACCCTCTCCCTTACCACCCACTCTGCCCCTCCCTCTCCCCCCACCCCCTCAATACCCAGTAGAAACTATTTTGCCCTTATTTCTAATTTTGTTGTAGAGAGAGTATAAGCAATAAT